AATGTGCAAAGGCTGCGATTGAGATGATTCAGTGAAAATGGGATTTTGAGTTGGTTTCTGAGAAGAACATTCTCAGATAAAGTGATGTATTATAATGCAGCAATTTCCCATTGTGAAAGCTGTGTTTTGTTTTGTTTGTTTTTTTTACATTAGGCGAGACTGAGGATTGAAAAGCCATGGATAGTTTGTACTACAGACCTATCTGAGGGACCAGCTGCCTGACGTAAATGATGCCATTCAAAGTGAAAAGAGGCAGTTTTGGGGAAAAAAGGTAAGATGAAATTCTCCTCCAATACATGGCCCAAGGCATGAATACAGTGGAAGTACCAGGGAAATCAGATTTCAGCACAAGAGTCCATTATGGTTAATTGTGGGACTTTGGTTTACAAACCCTGGTTGATTTGTAAACAAGTTTTGTGACATTAAAAACTAGGTAGTTATTATTTTCATGTCCATTTTTCTGTAACAGCAGCATTATGATGGACATTTGTCTCACTTCCCTCAATAGGTTCAAAAAACAGTAATCCAGAGCTTCACCTGCATTTCCATAGAACTGTCAGAAGAGAGCAGTAGTGGCACACCATAAACACGTTTATTAACAAGTGCTTTTGTTTTCTGAAGTACTGAAATTTAAACAGTTCTGCAAGTGTTGTATAGGACAGCTTTAGAGTGATTTGCCAAATAGGAAGAGAGGAAGCTATCCATTTCAATCAGACTGTACTGACTCTGCTATATCTGTCAGTTTTCATGTAGCTCTGAGGGCAGCCAGGCCAGCAGTGCTTTAGGTCACTCATTTAATGCTGTGGTGGAATGTAACTATAAGTACATTCACTCAAGTCATGTACAAGAACAATTTTAGCTGCTACTACTTTATTTGAGTATTTCCATTTTATAATACTTTATAGTTCTATTCTACTACATTTCAGAAAAAACATATTATGCTTTTTACTCCACTACAGCTATTTGACATCTTATCTTTGCAAATTTAGTTTATTAAAGACAAAATATAACCAACGAATCAATTGTGATGTATTATTATAGATTAAGCTACAGAGCAGCATGTAAAGTATTTGAAATGCTCCATTAATGATGCTTACACATTCATACATTGACAATCATAATCCAATATTATATATATATATATATATATTTTACACATTTTTTATGACTTACTATACTGTTACGTTTCTATTTCATACTATATCATGAAATTTTTATCACATACTGTACTATGACATTTTTCTGCCTTACTATATCATTTCATCTTATGCCTTGCCATACTATGACGTTTTCATGACCTTTTATACCTTAATATACTATGATGTTTTTTTGACGTTTTATGCCGTACTATACTATGACGTTTTTTGGCATTTTTATGCCAAACTATACTATGACGTTTTTGCGCCTTTTTATGCCTAACTATACTATGTTGTTTGATGCCTTACCATAATATGACGTTTTCATGACCTTTTATGCCTTAATATACTATGATGTTTTTTTGACGTTTTATACTATACTATGACGTTTTTTTGCATATTTATGCCAAACTATACTATGACGTTTTCATGACCTTTTATGCCTTAATATACTATGATGTTTTTTTGACATTTTATACTATACTATGACGTTTTTTTTGCATATTTATGCCAAACTATACTATGTTGTTTTTTTTACTTTCTATACCATACATTGGTATGCCTTACTATACATTTTTATGACTTACTATACTATGATGTTCTTTATGACTTACTATACTATGACGTTTTTATTACATAACATACTATGACATTTTTATAACTATGTCGTTTGATGCCTTACCATAATATGACGTTTTTATGACCTTTCATGCTTTAACATACTGTGATGTTTTTTTGACGTTTTATGCCATACAATACTATGACGTTTGATGCCTTACCATACTATGACGTTTTCATGACCTTTTATGCCTTAATATACTATGATGTTTTTTTGACGTTTTATGCCATACTATACTATGACGTTTTTTGGCACTTTTATGCCAAACTATACTATGATGTTTTTGCGCCTTTTTATGCCTAACTATACTATGTCGTTTGATGCCTTACCATAATATGACGTTTTCATGACCTTTTATGCCTTAATATACTATGATGTTTTTTTGACGTTTTATGCCATACTATACTATGCCGTTTTTTGGCACTTTTATGCCAAACTATACTATGATGTTTTTGCGCCTTTTTATGCCTAACTATACTAAGTCGTTTGATGCCTTACCATAATATGACGTTTTCATGACCTTTTATGCCTTAATATACTATGATGTTTTTTTGACGTTTTATGCCATACTATACTATGCCGTTTTTTGGCACTTTTATGCCAAACTATACTATGATGTTTTTGCGCCTTTTTATGCCTAACTATACTAAGTCGTTTGATGCCTTACCATAATATGACGTTTTCATGACCTTTTATGCCTTAATATACTATGATGTTTTTTTGACGTTTTATACCATACTATACTATGACGTTTTTTTGCATTTTTATGCCAAACTATACTATGTTGTTTTTTATGACTTACTATACTATGACATTTTTATTACATACAATACTATGATGTTTTTATGACTTACTATACTATGACTTTTTATGCCTACTATGACATTTTGGGGCATTTTTATGCCTTACTGTACAATGTCGTTTGATGCCTTACCATACTATGACGTTTTTGTGCCTTTTTATGCCTAACTATACTATGTCGTTTGATGCCTTACCATACTATGACGTTTTTGTGCCTTTTTATGCCTAACTATACTATGTCGTTTGATGCCTTACCATACTATGACGTTTTTGTGCCTTTTTATGCCTAACTATACTATGTCGTTTGATGCCTTACCATACTATGACGTTTTTGTGCCTTTTTATGCCTAACTATACTATGTCGTTTGATGCCTTACCATATTATGACGTTTTTATGACTTTTTATGCCTACTATGACATTTTGGGGCATTTTTATGCCTTACTATACAATGTCGTTTGATGCCTATGACGTTTTTTGGCATTTTTATGCCTTACTATACAATGTCGTTTGATGCCTTACCATACTATGACGTTTTTGTGACCTTTTATGCCTTAATATACTATGATGTTTTTTTGACGTTTTATACCATACTATACTATGACGTTTTTTTGCATTTTTATGCCAAACTATACTATGTTGTTTTTTATGACTTACTATACTATGACATTTTTATTACATACAATACTATGATGTTTTTATGACTTACTATACTGTTACGTTTCTATTTCATACTATACCACGACATTTTTATCACATACTGTACTATGACATTTTTATGCCTTACTATATCATTTCATCTTGTGCCTTGCCATACTATGATGTTTTTTTGACGTTTTATACCATACTATACTATGACGTTTTTTTGCATTTTTATGCCAAACTATACTATGTTGTTTTTTATGACTTACTATACTATGACATTTTTATTACATACAATACTATGATGTTTTTATGACTTACTATACTGTTACGTTTCTATTTCATACTATACCACGACATTTTTATCACATACTGTACTATGACATTTTTATGCCTTACTATATCATTTCATCTTGTGCCTTGCCATACTATGACGTTTTCATGACCTTTTATGCCTTAATATACTATGATGTTTTTTGGACATTTTATGCCATACTATACTATGACGTTTTTTGGCATTTTTATGCCAAACTATACTATGACGTTTTTGTGCCTTTTTATGCCTAACTATACTATGTCGTTTGATGCCTTACCATATTATGACGTTTTTATGACTTTTTATGCCTACTATGACATTTTGGGGCATTTTTATGCCTTACTATACAATGTCGTTTGATGCCTATGACGTTTTTTGGCATTTTTATGCCTTACTATACAATGTCGTTTGATGCCTTACCATACTATGACGTTTTTGTGACCTTTTATGCCTTAATATACTATGATGTTTTTTTGACGTTTTATACCATACTATACTATGACGTTTTTTTGCATTTTTATGCCAAACTATACTATGACGTTTTTTATGACTTACTATACTATGACATTTTTATTACATACAATACTATGATGTTTTTATGACTTACTATACCATGACATTTTTTTTGCCTTACTATACTATGACATTTTTTATCACTTACTATACTACGAAGATTATAATGCTTTACTATAATATGTTTTAATCACATACTGTACTATGACATTTTTTATGACTTTATATACCCTACATTGTTATGCATTACTATACATTTTTATGACTTACTATACTATGACCTTTCTTGCTTTAATATACTGTGATGTTTTTTTTGACGTTTTATGCCAAACTATACTATGACGTTTTTGTGCCTTTTTATGCCTAACTATACTATGTCATTGAGGTTTTTTGGCATTTTTATGCCTTACTATATAATTTCATCTTATGCCTTGCCATACTTTGACTTACTATAATATGACCCTAAATGAACTGGATTATATGAAAAAGTATATGTTGTGTTTAATTCCTGCAGGTTCATAGCATGTCATGAAACATGTAATGTACAAACAAGTAATGCCTGAGTATTTTAAGTGTATTTATATTTTATCAGCCCAGCACTGAAGTATATTAAAATCACTGTCAGACTGGTGAGCTTTAATTAGCCAACAAGACTCATCCTGCCTGTGACATGAAAATCTGTAAAACAAGGTTTTCTCTTTCCTTTCAGGCTTATTTATGTAGAATAATCAAGAGTGGCTGTTTGTTAAACAGTGTATGTGGCTGGAACTCTTTCAGCACCTCACTCTGTTAAAAAAAAAAAAAAAAAATCTTAGGTCTACTTCAAGGTCACATTTCAATGTGTTCTGCTTATTTTAGAAGTAGGTTGTGAATAAAACTGCAAGGAGTTTGAAAATGAGACAGCCTCCTGGTGACAGACCAACAGAAATGAGACAAAAATGAGCCATAGTTAAAGATTACCAGCTTTCTCTTTTATTGAAAAATATAGCTGTTATTTCAAAGAAAGGAAAGTGAGAAAGGTAAATATATTAATATACTGTAAAACCAGAATAAGGAGTAGGAAAAGAAAACAGTACATACTTTGCAGAACACTACAGCCACTGAATAGAAAAAAAGAAAACATTCTACAGCTGAACTTTGAGCCAGTTGTTTTTCGCAGTCCTTATCTTTTTTTGCCACTCACCAAACCACAGCTGTCGGCGCATGGAAAACTTTTAAGCAGACCTGGGGCAAGAAAAGTATTTGCAAATTCCTTTATATGGTTTATTCTGTCCTACTTAGCAGTTTCCCACAGCGAAACATAACAAATGCCAGAGAGTTAAGACAATTACAAGAAAGTATATCAGAGCAATTCAGTATACTTTTCCATAATTCTCCATTTACCTCTTTCAAATTAAAATTCTAACTCCACCAATTTGGCAAACTGGATACTAAACGTAAAACTTGCAAATACAATTTGGCCACAAATGTGCCGTTTAGTGTTGAAGCCACTAACATTCTTCTGGTTCCCACACTAGTACCACATATTCACACAGCTGATAACAAGGATTGTTTGCTGTAATCATCAATGGCACAAATTATATTTACATTAGTTGATTAAAACAATGGCAGATAAGGAGTGTTTTTGTCCTCTCTTTTAAAGTGTCCATTGCTCAGTGAAGGATTGCAGCTGCCCAAGCACTCCACAAACCACATAGTTCATAATGGTTCAAAAAATGAAAATAAAAAAAGTAAAAGACAGCTTAAAATTTGGCCCATTTACGTCAAAATGTGAAAGCGATCTGACTCAAAGCATACTGCATATCTACACAGAAAAAAAAAAAAAAAAAAAAGAAGAAATCCAGAAAGATCTTGCTAACATTAACCCAATAAAATGGTTAAAACATACTTGGCAATTTCCTCCAAAAGATTCTGAACTTCTTGCAACCTGCTCATGTAGACACAGCTCCAAAATATCACAATAACCCGAGGGCAGAATGGCACGGCATCCTGATTCCATGTGCACACCTCTGCATCAGTGCCACAACAGGAAATCTAAAGCTCCTATTTGTCAAATGTGGCAATTAACTTTCTAACACATAATAAAAAAAAAAAAAAAAGGTCTGACATTAATCATGGACACCAGAGAGGAAAGTACACCTCTTTTTGCCTAATTTAGAACTTGAGAGTAACCTAATGGAGACTGAGTGAGCCTGCATTGTAAAACCAACTAAACACACACACACACAACATAAAAGCATCCCACCTGTCTGTTCCTGACCTTGCTGCTTTTGGAGAAGTTCCAGCTGGTTGGGGGCCAATACTCCAGAACATTTAATGAGTAGCCTGGGAGAGGCCAGACGATTGGTTGATTTAATCATCTGTTCCTACTGTGTGATTTGGGTTGTTTAGTTGAGGAGTGTGTTCTCACTTGTGGGGCCAGTTCAGGAAATATCTTCCACTCTCACTCGCCTCCAGACATATCCGATGCCCGTCTATTAAGTAGCTGCGCTCTAATAACACTTTGTACATGTTGTTACATCCTGTCTCTGCCCTTAAAGAGACACACGCCTGGACACATGTCTACACAGAGGAGGATGTGTTTTCGGGATAGAGCCGTAACTATTAATTATAATATAACCATTTTTCTTCTGCTGCAGCGACTCCATCTTCAAACATTTCTGATGTCTCTCTGCTGACCTGCTAATCCTACCAACCTCAGTAATGACGTGGAATGACGACAACAGACATACACACAATTTGCCATAATCCCCACCTCTGTCCTGTTTCAGTACAGGACACAGAACACATACAAAAAGGCCTCTTTTCTGACAAAATCAATTTTTCTTTTTTTGCAAATTAAAAAGCAGGGCTTAGTTGCACAAAACACCTTAAGTTTTCTACTTAGGTATGGCATTTAAGATTTGATTTCTCCTTATCTGAGGGAGTTATTTTAAGGGTGTTGCACAGAATCTCTTTTCTTCATTTATTGCCATAAACTCAGCTCATGTTGCAGTTAAGGTAAAGTCTGGTCGCTAAGATCTTTTGTGCAACGGTTTAACTGACTTAAAGTGATTCCTTAAGTAAAGGATTAAGAAAAGGAGAAAACCTTAAATACTTAAGTGACCATTTTAAGGAAACCTTAAGGGTGTTTTGTACAACTGTTTTTATTTTAAGGAAGCCTTAACTCAGACTTGAAGGAAAATCTTAACCTAAGGTTCTTTATGCTACCGGCAACCCAGACACTTACAGCGATTGATTTTGTAAAAAATAAGTCATTATCAACTAATACAGCCTTAGCATGACAGAGATAGCATATAGTAATGTGGCTTAGACATTTGTTATGTCTACTTTAGTCCAAAAATGAAGTGCCATGTAGCCAGCGTGCAACCAAGCTGGCTACTTCTGTGGTACCATTAAGTTTTTGTGAGAAATGAAACTTATCAGATATAAACTCAACTTTTAAGACCTAGCAGTGCACATTAGGAATAACCCATCCCTTATTAAAATCAATGAATAAATACCACAGCTGTCAGTGAATTTAAAGAGTTGCCAAAGAAAAAGAGAGAGAAAGTCGCAAAATGATAAACTACCCAACTCAAATACAACAGGCTACTGTAGACCAACTTCCTGATACTATATGTACATAAAATATAGTAAAAAAAAAAATGGCAGAAATCACCCCCATTAAGTCATATGTGAACAAAAGTAATAACCACTTTATCTATGTAGTGTCTATGCCAAAACTTTGTTATTGGCAAACGAAGCTTTGTGATCACTCCCACGTGCAGCAATTACAAAGCTATCCGAGTTTCACTTCTTGTCCTTTCCCTCTTCCTTCCTCAGAGTGTGTACTACAACATCCAAGTTGAGTTTGCGACCCGGCACGTCCCTCTTCTCGCCCCACACACCATGCTCCAAATGTGATATTCATGTGATTGACAGCTGGAAGCACACTCTTGTAACCTCATGGTCACCTCTATACTTCTTAAAATTAGTGTGATGCTCATAACCAGTGGCTCGCTGACGGACACAGCAGTCACTACTTTTTTTTTTCTTTTTTTTTTGAAAACAGAATTTCCCAATAATAATAATAATGAGTTCAGAGTTTGACATCGCAAAAAATTGCAACAATCAACAAACCCAGACGTTTCAGAAGTGCAACCTTGTGAACAGTCTGTCTGCACTCAAGCACTCCAGTTCACGTCCTTGCTACAGCACAGTGAATAAGGCTTAATTGGTTTTATTTTATGATGTTGACAAAGTGTGCAGAGATAGATTGATCTACAAGAAGCTTAAAGCAGATGTGGCCCTGCCTTTAAATCCTCCCTCTGCCTTTCCCAGCTTGTGTCAGCCTCCCAACACCTGCTCATCTCCATTAGTGTCCGTTTGGGCCAGAACAGGTTTGTCTACACTCGAATCTCATCATCATCGTCCTCATCCATGAAAGTGAAATCTCTGTCATCCTCTCCACGTGGTGAACTGTACTTTGCACTGTCCGTGTCGGCATCGTTGAGGTGGTACTGAGGTTTCTCCTCGGTGGCCGAGCCGGAGCTGGACACAGAGCAGCTATCCAGGTTGTGGTGGTGGTGGTTGTTGTTTCTGGTGTGCAGCTCCGGGGTGTAGGGATCCACCATGGCCTTCTGCTGGTACATGCTGCGAGGTGGCCTTGCAGGGGCCTGCTCCTCCACATCATCATCATCTATGTGGGGTATGAGGGATGGCGACGCGTGGCCCTCGCTGCTCTTACCTTCCTCATAGCCAAGGTCATCTTCCTCCCAGCCTTTCTTTTCCATCACGCTCAAGATATCCCCGAGCATGGAGGGCCCCAAGTCGATGTGGAAGGACATCATGGACTCTGCGTGCTTCATCCCTCCTCCCTTAGGCATGGATGGAGGCAAATCTGTGAGTTCGCCAAAATTGCGCTCATCGAACTCTGCATCAAGCGTTGCCATCGCTGCTGCTCCGTTTATCGGCTTGCTTTCAATCTCTGTCAGCTTCTTCATGGGGCTGGAGGAGACGCTCTTTGGCAGCTGGTTGCTTCTGTTTGTATCCTCGTCGTTCAGGTAAGGTAGGGATATGGCGTTTTTCACAAAGTTGGATGAACCACCAGAAGGCGCCATCATATTGTAGTCATACTTGTCCCCTCGGTTTACTGACTGAGAGCGCTTGCTGCTTCTGAAGGTGCGGGACAGCAGCCCTGGTTTGGGGCCCGGGGAGCCCTGCTTTGTTTCCGGCTCCCTGGGAGGTTCCCCCGATCGGGTGCTGAGAAATGAAGTGTCCCCAAAGGCGTCGCCCCCTCTGCCCACATGCATTGTGTGGCGGAAGTCCCCCAACGGAGCGCTGATCATCTCCGCAGTCAGGTCAGCCCGAGACCGCCGCTTCGATTGGTTGGAGTTATTCACCAGCTGCTTGAGAATAGGCATGATGGCAGGGTCTCTGACTTTAAATCCACAGACGAATCAAACTGGGTTCTATAGGTGTTCAGGAGGGTTCCTTCCAGAGATCTTTGGCTTTTGTATGAGATTTTGTCAAAGGAAGTACAATTCCAGGTGTTTAATGTGTGAAGCCATTCTGGACCTCCAGCTCAGGTCTCATCTTACAGTTGTGGATCGACCTGCGAAGAAGAAAAAGAGCATTAGCGCCACATCACTACTTATATAAACCAAGACCAGCTATGCACCTTGGCAGGGCAATGTGGAAACATGCAATTAATAACACCAGGCCATTTTAATCTAGGAAATGTGAAATACTACTTTAAATCCCTCTCTAAGGAGCTATGTGTCTATTCATTTCTCATTACTATCACATTACTCCTTCTGCCCTGATCTGCATCTGTATGGAAGCTTTTCTTGCCAGTGCTTCAAAAATGAAGCCTCACTTGAGTGGGTCTAAACTCGCAAAAGCTTTATACAATATGTAGACGTCCGTAAGGGAGTTATGTAACAGTGAAGTAAAGCTTACTGGTATAAAGTTCACAGCAACTTCACCTAACTTTGAACCAGGAATAATACCCCTAGTAAAGTTTACCAAGTGCAAAATAGCTTCCCATTCAAACATGTTTGTGCAATTCTTCTGATACATTTTTAGAAAAACTCTATAGGCCACTGTCAAATTCAATTTTTCAAGTGGCTGCAGTTTCTGCTAACACTGCTGTGCTTTAGTTCCCATTTAGGCCCCTGACTGTTACATAACCATCAAGATACAGGATACTGGGAGCTGGAGCAGTTCTAGCTGGCAGGAATGAAAGAATGACAAAGAGGAAGAAAAAAAAGAATGAAGTGGAGCAGCATTTCTTCAGCATTGATCAACTTACAGAAAGTCCTGGTCTGCTACATTCTGTTGTAAACCTGCTATCAGCAAAAGACTTCATCGCTACTTCAGTGTGTTTTTATCTCAGTTTTTGACTTTGTCTATGTGGCCTTGATGGCGACATTTGAGCAACAGAATATTTTGTTCTGTCTATTGCTGCCTCTGTTTATCCAACTATCTCAGTTTTTTACTGAACATAACAACATCAATTGGCAACATACAGTGCATGGCCTTCAGGTTTGGTGATAGCCACAGTGACAGATCAAAGCCTTAAATGTAATGTGAGGAAAGCAGGGGCGCTCTTGATTGAACGCAGGTTCACTTTGATCCTGATCATCTGTGACTCAATAAGATGATAATATGGCTCATTTCAGCATTTAGACCAAACTGCCCTCGAGTCACCGGTGACTCAAGCCTTGAAATGTGATCTCAAAACGGAGTCGAGTGAAGACGAGGTTCAAACTCCCACTTACAGTCCACTAGCTCCATGTGTTACTGACATTAACAAGGGTTTCAATTGTTTTTAGCCAGACAGCAATCCCATCATTCTCAGTGTTTTCGAAAGGGAGCTACTAAAGCCCACGCTCTAGGCCTGTATGCATTACACCCCCCCTCCTTCATCCCTCGTGGATGAATGGGGGCTTCACTCAACAATATTCCACAGCAACGTCATCCATTAAAACATTTGCATCTCTGACAAGAACCCATTGAATTGGAAAGGCAACTGTAGCACTACAGCGAACAGAGGGGGGGTTTGATAGATGAAAAAAAAAAAAAAAAAAAAAGGTCCTGTAGTTCTGTTTTGTTGTTCGCTGCTCTTTCAAAAGACAGATCATCTCCAAAGAGAACTGAACTCTATCCACTGCCAAGATTTTCTCCTCTACAACTTCATTCAAGATTTCTTCAGTGGTTCTTGTTGTACTAATGCGCGAGATGCACTGTCCGCACATCAAAAAGCACAACACAAAAGGATGGCTAACAAAGAGCAAATGCATTAACAATAGTACATGAAAAGCTGATTTTCCAACTTCTATTGTAGAAGTAATTTGAGTTCAAGTTCACACCCTTATACAAGACAACTGGAGTGGGCCTTACTGTTATGAAAAGGTATTTTAACAGCAACTGGAGGCCAAATTATGAGATTATAGCTTAAAGTAAACAAATAGTATTTAATTCCCACTGAGCAGACTCATAGTGGTTAGATTAATGCAGTATGGTCTATCATTAACCAAACCCTCCATTACTTTATGCCCTGAGCATTAGCCAGTTAGTGACTGACCACTCAAGACAACTTGCCATCTGATATGTTCCTCCCTACTGCTCACAGTTTTGTGTTTCTCTATGGCAACATCAGAGCAGCAGAGCGCCGGCTACAAAGCAGAGCTTCCTGTCTCTCTAAGCCGGCCGGAGACACACAAGAGAGAGAGAGAGAGAGAAAGATTTTATCCCCCTACATGGAGAGATCAGCTCATTCAGATGGATTAACCCTTCCTGGTGGTCACATGCAGGGCAATAAGACAATCACCACAGTGCTGCATAGCTGAAGGGGAATGCTTTTGATGTGCCATGTCAGGAGAAGACATTCAACCTCAGCATAAAAGATGTCAGTGGGTGCTCAAATATCAAAACAAGGTGCAAACCTCACACCTTAAGTCATTCAAGGAAATGGCCCATTTTATGTCTTTTTTTTTGGGGGGGGGGGCTTGGTATTTGATGGGGAAGAGCTGTAAACCCCCCACCCTCAGGATCATCAAGACTCCATTGTCGTGGGCATGACAAAAGATGGAGTATGACCTGCAGGCAGCCCTGTCATGTTCACTTCTAGCCTTTCAGTGCTTTAAAAAAAACAGATAAATCATGAAGAATGGCATCTTCATGTGCATTTCTCTGTTTCAAAATAACACTTCGGGAACTGTTTTGAAATTGTGAAAGTGCTTTAACGCTCTGCATATAAAAAAACAGCTCTGTTAATGTTCTTTTACATAAAAAAGAAGCATTGATGCTTTTTCTCCCAGTTGTTTTGGAAAATTTTTATCCATTTCACCAAATCAATGTCAGGCATTGATGTTTACTTTGAGCCACTGTTGTTGATATCTTTTAAATACAAAGCCTGATCATATTCTAGTTGATGGAAAATACCAAACACTAATAATGATTACATATTGTACAAAGACATCTATTGTTATGTTGGAAGGAAAATCTCAGGTTTAGTTATTCATTGATGAGTTATCACAATTTTACTGTTATGTTATTCACGATTTTTGGGTTTCCTTTCTTTCATATTTGGAAAATTTTAAGATTTTTTTTAGATTTACTCAATTGTAGAGGTAATGTTCAACAAGCTGAGCTTATATATGTTTTTTATTAGTGGTTTCATTGCATTACAAACTTTATTTTCTTCATTTTTTTATTATCAATGCTGATTTGTATTTCTTACAGACATGGGCAAAAAAAAGACTGACTGTTACAATTATTCATCTTATTTTACCTCACTGTATCTTATGTTTTCCTATGTATATATTTTTTTGGCAAATAAAGTGAGGAACGGATTAGAATGGATTTTCTGATTTTTTTTGTTGGTTCCTTAATCTGTCTGATTTTGTGAATGTATGGAGGATTATATACAAGTTATTCATGAATAAATGAAAGTTTTAAATAAAGCTGTTTCACTTCAGTGTCTAGACAGACAGTAAAAACATTGTCAAACATTGTGCCGACGTCAACTTGATGACCACAGTTTCTAGTCAGGCCTGTGTGTGTGACCCAACCAGTTCACACACTCTCAGGTCAGCTGAGGGCAAAATTCCATCTCAGCGCTCTTTCTACAGGCTCCCACAACGAAACAGACAAACAGGTCACACTATCATTACATAGAGACTACAGCACGCACATATAGCTGAACATGTTTGTGTTGGAGCACTAAATGTGCCCAAAGAGGTAATAAGTATCAGTCACCGCGCCAGCTGGTGACGAAGCCTTTATGTAACCGAGCACTCAAAGTGCCACATGACTCCAGCTCAAACTGAGACAAGTGGTGACAGGGCCATGAATGATTAAAAGCATCTTATGTCGCCGGAAGACTGATGCGCACAGAATGACATAACAACCGCCATGCTCATCAGCATTCAGTCTCGCTGTTGTAATCCCGCAGATTGCGGGCGCCATACCGTCCTCTGCTATCCCATGTCTCCTTTTACTCAATGAACAGGGGAAAGAAGCTTTGGATGCCCATCCAATCACAGCTCGGCTACTGTCAAGTTAAACCATCATGTGTACCCGGGCTGGAAGGGTTTCTGGGTTTATTTTTGACTGCATTTTAATTTTTAAAAAAGAGACAGGGAAAAAGCCTGAAAGAAAATCATTTATTCATAAGGCGGAAGCCACCACTCAGATGTTACAAGGACTCAGGTAAAGGGCCATTTCACAACAGTTGTGGGACCCTGGATGTTGTCTGGCAGGTTCACTTTATATCTATAGAATAAATGTGAATATAATCTAGAAGAAAATGCTTCCGTTCCAGATTAACAATTTAAAAAATTGCTGTAAAACAAGAAATTAACTTGGCAAAACTGCATAATGGTGACCCAATATAATTAGAAATACCAAAATAATCATGTTATATGATTATCAGTCAGTAAGTTGTACACACCCTGCATGTGTTTACTAACCTCACCAGCCCACCTGTAAACTCAAAACATACTTCTTCAGCCTGGCTTTTAATTAAATATGGTTTTTAGTCATTAGTCACTTTAGACCTCTTTGCTGAGGCTGCTGCCCCCGCGACCCGGATCCGGATAAGCGGGAGACGACAAGACAAGACTTATTTTACTGTAATTATGTTGTAAATTTTATTCTATTTTATCTGTTCTTTTATCATCACAGTTTTTTTGTTTGCTTATATTATTATAGCTTTTTAAATCTATTTTATTGTATCTTATTAGCAGCTTTCTTACCCAATTTGTCCTTTTCTTTTTAGCTTATCAGTGATTTTTCCGTATACAATTCTAGAATTTCATTTGGGCAAGCAAAATTTTAAGTATTAACATTGTGACTTATATACAATGAGGGTATTTTAGCATAAAACTCTGCGAGTTTATCTTTAAGTCCTAAACACAGAGACTCTGCTGAGTGAGCAATAAGAAAAGTTCTGCTTTGTTTAACCTTGAACTAGGCAGAATCGCCTCCATTGTTCAACCCTATTGTCAGCAACATTGATATGCAAATGGCTATAAGAGCATCTATGACACTGCTAATCAATTAATCAATGGGTGCTGCATAAGAATGGAAAGTTCTCAACTATGACAA